TAGCAAATTCCATTGGCAAAAGTAGTGTCGCACTGTGGCGGCACTCGCACTAATTCAGAGCAATTTTAAATATACTTCGTTTTTTCCATTCCTATTAAGATTTCCTATTTCTTTACTTTTCGGATTTTTGAAGTCAAACTCGAAGATTGAATATAGCATTTTTAAATTTTTTTTCAAATGGGTCAGTCAACCAAATCCAATAAACTCAATCCAATTCAAAGTTAATTAACAGATCTTATTGTTTCGATAGTCGCGTAACAAAACAAATATATAGATTAGGTCACACAGCCTCCAAGATCTCGTGCTGACCTGATTGCACTCATAGCAAAAAGTCTCGCACCAGTTGCCCAATCGGATTCAGAAACTTGAACTGAAATGGCCAATGGTTGACAAATATTCCACTTGTGTCGCACCCGTTCGGCCAATGACCTCGCCCCCCCTCCTCCTAACTTCGGAACACACACATGTATTTACTTGAAATTTACAGGTGAGTATTTGAAACCAAAAAAAAAACCTTTTGCCAATAAATTGACAGCTTTATGATTAAAAATAGGGGTCGATGCCACCTTTAAAAACAAAAATGGAAAGAGGGGTTGAGTGATAACTCATTTTGAAGGTCTTTTTATGCTCAAAGCATTCTCCAATATTGAAAACATTTGGTTCAGTATTTTCAAATGAGAACCAATAAAATCGGTCTTTATCTTGTGAAGAGTCAATTTTGGGCTAAAAATAATTTCTGTCAATCCAAAATATAGATATTGAAAAGTATAAAAGGGACAGCAAAAATCAATAATGACATTTTATAGGTGAAATGTTCAGTGAAAAGTGATTTATAAACAGGTTAATCATAACGTAGAGACCGATTTAATTGATTCTTATTAGAAACATACTGAACCATATGTTTTCAAAATTGCTTTGAGCATAAAAAGACATTCAAAATGACCCTCTTTCCATTTCTCCTGATACTTGCCTAGGAATTTCAAGCAAATACCTGAGTGCGTTCCGAAGTTAGCAGAGGAGGACTCACTAGTTTAATATAAATAATGTGAATATAAAGAAAATTTCGAGGAAAATTTGTAAAATAAAAAGCCTAAATTTTGCAAAATAAAATACTAACTATGATAGCGTATGAAGCTATTGTAGTAGCGAGTGTAGTAGGTATTCAAATATGGAATGTCATTTTTATTTTTGTTAGCATATGTGAAGAAGTCTTTTATATTCTCGCACTGATATTCAATATTGGCTGAACGGACAACAACAGCAAAAGGGACAAGCTGTGCGTTAAAAATAGAATAAGTACCTACTATAAATAACCCAGGGTATATGTGGGAAGAAGTATTTTAGTTCAATTTTCAATTAATGGCACAAGAAACTTTATTCGCTTTATTTAGACATTTGATTACGAAATTGAAAGAAAACTATCTCAAATTCTCATCCCTTAGGGGGTTGCTACCCTAACTTGTTTTTTTTTTCAATATGAACCCTTATATATACTACTAATAAACTATTTAGTTTAATATAAATAAAATATCTAGGCTTAGTCATATATGAATAATATTAAACTGTTAGTGAACATGTAGGTATACAAAATAACTAACAAAATTTTACCTATGATCTAATCTTAATGAAACTTGTGTAACTAAACTCACCGTTTCATTATGATTATCATATTGTCATTAATAACTAAATAAATTATGCAATATGTATTTGTTTTAATTTTCTTTAAATTATTATTGTATTGATAAACTCTATAATTATACAATTCAAGCGTCGTCGATTCAAAAATTATATTTTCCTTTGTTCCTACCCCAAGGATCGGAAAAAAAAAACACCAACGGAAATTATTCATTTATTTTATTTTTGATGTCTATTGTTGTGTCCTGATGATGCAAATAAATTTTGCGAAACGTCGACAATTTCGAAGAAAACAAACTTCCGTTGGCGTTTTTTTTTTCGATCTTACACCAATAAAAAAAAGGGAAAATATTTAAAAATATTCACTTTCAACCTCTCTAGCGAATCGCCGCCCAACTTCTACAAACAGCTTTCTGTCCGTACAGGTAATTCCTGCGTTTTTAAGGTATTCTTTGTATTCATTCTTCGCTTGCCAAATCTTCTTCTTGAAGTTTTTTTGCAACACACATTTCCGCAGATCATGGTCGTATCGTTTCCCAGACGCTTTCGCGACCATAAATTTCCCTAGAAGTTTGTAGTGCACTTCTTGTAGTTCTGAAAAAATTCCAAGTGATACAAAACTCTTGGACGAAATCGACGCAACAATAAGTACAATATCGGTTTCGAAAACTTATGTAAACGGTGTATTAAGGACTCTGATTTCCTGGCCTTGTTTCAAGGACGGATATTTGAAACACAGGTGACATCGATTGGTGGAAAAGGCAATACCAATATATGCTTGGTGAGGAAAAATCAATGTTACTGATGCGATGGAAAGAAATAAGGATATGGGATGAGGGTTTTTTTGGCTTGGAATCAGGAAAATCACTGGTACTATGCTAAAACCGAGGCTAAAACAGTCAGGAGGCGTCTGAAAACAGTAGAACCACAAAGTTCGAAGAATGCATTTCGTTATACAATATCAATTGGACTGTGAATGATTGAATCAAAATTTTTATTCTCCAACCCTTCCATGGACGACAGCCTATCTTGCTAAGGAACCGTGAGAGTTGGCCAGCTACAATATCTTTCCACAGCAGTCACGAATGGTCCCTACACTTTTAGGTTCTAGATGAATGTTAATTAGAGCTATTATTATTATCTGGAATTGAAAACGTTGTTGTGATATTATGTCATCCGACCCTAATTTGTTAATAAAGCAAGGTGATATGCCGTTGATACTCCATTTGGACCATCTGGGTAACGGCCACCGAGAATCCCGAGAGAGCATCCATGCATGGGACAACGTCATTCACTTAGGGAACAAAAGCGCGGAAAATAGTTTTGTTGGGGTCAAAGCAAAAAATTAATGGGAAAAATAATCTTAAATAGCTAAACATAAGTCCGATAATTAAAATATATGAATTCGAGCAGGATAAACTTATGCATAAAATATTAAAACAAAGTCAGAAGAGCAATATTAATATTATTTTATCGAATGATGTACACCAATATAATACCAGAACCAACTGTGATATTTACCAAATTGTAACTAAAACTAATATAGGTCTCAATAATCCAATAGTCCGAGCTTCTAAATCTTATAATAAGGTACCTGGAGAAATTAAAAATGTAAGAAATTTCAATATATTTGTAAAAAAGCTTAAGCAACACTTAGACATAAGGTAAACAAAAACTGAGATTATTTTCTCAAGACCAGTGCTTACAGGCACTGTTTAGAGGAATTGTATTGTTGTTATTGTAATGAATGATTTAAGAAATAAACGATTTTCAAAAAAAAAATACATTTTAGAAATAGCAGGTACTCACCTTGCTGCGCGTCAAAGTGCTCTTCTACGAGCGCGTCTACTTTTGCCATGTCGACCATTTTCCAATTTGCAATTTCAATTTTCCCAGTTTTGACACCACAGCAAAATCCTAATTTTAGAAATTGACAAAAATAATTTTTAAAATAATTTCATTATACACATTCAATAAATAATCACCTATTTTAATATTTACACAAATCGAATCAAATAATTTTGTTTTAATACAGCAGTACGAAGTATGGCGCAATATAGGTGTGAAAAGTCAAAATCGAGATTAATTGCAATGACAGAGGAGGAGCCACAGGACTCAGGAGGTCTGTTACCACAGAAATCGCAAACCAGTCGGAGCGTTTTTGGTTAGTCCAAATCGCCAAGAAACAGTTTCCTGTCTATTCTCAATCAATGAAATTCGCTCTGACTAGTTTCTTATTTCTGTGGAAACAGACCTAGGATGACATTTTCATCAATTCAATTTTATAGTGCTTTTGGATTAGTTTGGTTTTTTAATGTAGATCCTATGCCGATTTTTTATTCGGGTAATTCCATAAATTAAGGCGGATTTATACAAATTCAAATTAGGATTTTATTGTATTTTAGTTTCATTATGTCGCGTTTATACCGACATTTATAATTTTTCCCAGAATTAATATTTTCAACCTCAATAAAACGTACCTATCGGTTTGCCCGTGCAACTTGCAATCTATTGCAATAAAATTCGGTCATTGATAAATAAATACCAGAAATGATAAAGGAAATCGCTCGTGGCATACCAGAAAGTTAACGAAAAATTTGGCGTCACAGGGATTTGAACCAAGGACCTACTGACCTACAGAGGCCTACAGTTTTTTTTATCCAATTGGTCAAACGTGTCGTCAACTTTTGATACCATCGCCAACCTTCGGCGGTACTTAAAAGTCGGAATGGTTGATAAGGTCTTTACGGAAACCCTGATCCAATTATTATTACCAACATTCAATTTAAAAAAAGATAGGTATTACTTCAAAAATTAAATTTGAAATAATTAAAATTTGTATAACCGCCTTCGTTGGATATCACTAGACAAATTTCCTGATTAAGTTAAGTTAAATGCTAAATTAAATTAAATTTCTATATAAACTCACCTTTCTCGAGAAAATTTCAGTTGCAATCAGAGGGGTCACTGCACTGCACTAATAGTTTAAAAAGTCTGGTTTTGTCATACGATCTTTCAATGAACCCTTGATAACTCAATCTCTTGATTCATAAGAGGTTCCTTGGCTGAGTTTTCTTTGCACGAATCAGAACATAATCCACAGAGCACAAACTATTGTTTTCTACTGAAAATTTCTCGATCACCTACATCTCTATTGCGCGGTAATAATTTTATTACATTACTTTGGTGATAAACCCCAGCAGGCGAACTTTCAGTGATAAATTTAAAATAGAATAAGGAAGCAATTCTAACATGATTTTTCAACAAATAATTTTAGACACACAGTATGATCATGCAATCATTAAAGTTTTTAAAACACTTTTCTCATAAAATAAATTATGCCTTAATTTTTTTGTTTATTTTAGGGTATCTCAAGAACCATTTAACACAGACGAAATGGCTCAAGAGTTTGTTATGTCATTCCCAAATCAAATTTTTACTGTTGGTCAACAACTAGCATTTTCTTTCAAGGATAAGAAATTACTGCTTGCTATTGTTAAGGAATTGGAAGGTACCTACTTTTTATTCTGTAACATATACAATTAGTTGTTTGATATTCGTATCCCTCCATTATATATTGTTTACTGTTTCGTGGGTTATGGGATAGCTCATAACCCACGAAACAGTAAACAATATATACAATTAGGTTTTATAAAGATTTTTGAATAAATAACTTTTTCTTTGAAGCTGCTAATATGACGGCAATTAAAGAAGGTACCACTGCCAAAGCAAAAAAAGTGAAGATGGGTCAGTTGATGTCCAACACTACTGTCCAGTTTGAGAAAGCAGAGGCCTCATCTTTAAATCTTGTAGGAAAATCAAAAGGGTATGATGATCTATAACTGCAAACTTAGCTAATTTAATCTTATAATATTTTGTTTTTGTAGAGTTCAAGTAAGACAGTCAATTATCAACCCAGATTGGGATTTCCAAAAAATGGGCATTGGAGGCTTGAGCAATGAATTTAACGCCATCTTCAGAAGAGCTTTCGCTTCCCGCGTTTTCCCTCCTGATATTGTCGAGCAGTTGGGATGCAAACACGTAAAAGGTATTTTACTCTTTGGACCACCTGGTACTGGTAAAACCCTAATGGCTAGGCAAATCGGTCAAATGTTAAATGCCAGGGAACCAAAAATAGTAAATGGTCCTCAAATCTTGGACAAGTATGTGGGCGAGTCAGAAGCCAATGTGAGACGACTATTTGCGGAAGCTGAAGAAGAACAAAAGAGGGTAAGGACTTTTTAATATGAAACTTTCCTATGAATGAATGAATGGTGATGAAGAAATTTCTTGAGCATTAAGGATGACTTTTGTTTGACAATTATTTTAACTACTTATCACTTTTCAAATTTTCTATGTCTCTATGTCTAGGCTGGATCAAACAGTGGTTTACACATTATAATCTTTGATGAAATCGATGCAATATGTAAACAAAGAGGTTCTGTAGCTGGCAACACTGGGGTCCATGATACTGTCGTCAATCAACTTTTATCAAAAATTGACGGCGTGGAACAGTTAAATAATATCTTAGTTATTGGTAAGTAAAGTATTTCTTTTAATATCCCACAAAAAAGTGTTTTTCTTCAGGTATGACCAACAGAAGAGACATGATAGACGAGGCTTTACTACGACCTGGCAGATTAGAGGTGCAGGTTGAAATCAGTTTACCAGACGAAGAAGGTCGTGTTCAAATTTTGAATATTCACACTGCCAGGATGAGGTCTTACAAGAAAATCAGCAGTGATGTTGATTTGATGGTGATTACGTTTATTTACCTCCTATACTACTTATGAGTCAATTTACTCTTTAACAACAGAACAAAGTACTTTTTCCAGGTCCTCAACATAATGTCTGCCTAAATTTATTGAGATTGACATATCATGATGATGTTTGTCTTTTTTTTCCTAGAAATTAGCAAGTCAAACAAAGAATTTCTCTGGGGCAGAACTGGAAGGTCTTGTACGTGCGGCTCAGTCAACTGCCATGAATCGACTGATCAAGGCCGCCAGTAAAGTTGAAGTTGATCCGGAAGCAATGGAGAAATTGTTGGTTACCAATGATGATTTCATGCACGCTCTAGAACATGATATAAAACCAGTAAGTGCTCTTAGTTTATTTAGATTGTAAAATAGGGATGGACTTGACGTTTTTTTATATAGGCATTCGGAACAGCCGAGGAAATACTGAATCACTACCTCACTCGTGGTATTCTCAACTGGGGTCCTCCAGTCACTTCTATCCTGGAAGATGGAAATCTTCTGGCTCAACAAGCTAGAGCTACTGATGGATCAGGTAAGGATTATTTTATTTTACATTGTAGTGTATTATTTTATTTTTATTTTGCTATGGTACTTTTTATGGAGTGGAGTATATGAACAGGCCAATAATTTCATGGATGTACAATTAATTTGATATATTCAATCAAACTTGTTATTTATTTACTGTGTGTATTTAAGATGAAAAATTCACATGCAAACTTTAACAAACTAAAACCGTAACTGAAATAAATAAGAAACTGCCCTTCCTTTGTTCATGCTCATAGCCAACCCCCAACCTTCTGTCTGCCATTTTTCATACCCTGTTCACACTAAAGGTGAACTAAAATGACAGCCAGAAGGTATGTTCACTAAATACTAAAACTCTAAAAATTAGTACTAAAAACACTAAATCTTGACATTACAAAACCCTTAGACTGAAGACACAATGACAAATACGAGGTACAACTGACAAGAGATAAAAATATAATAACACATGCATCAATCAATGCTATAACCCAGAATAAATGGATACAGGATACAATTTATTTGCCATGCTATGATACAAAATTTCGATTTTTTGGTATTTTGTATCTGTCTCTTGTACCTTGTATTTGTCATTGTGTCTTGAGCCTTTACAGTGAAGGTTCTTGTTGCACCAGTGCCTTACAGTTGGTATTAGTAGCAGCCATTAAATATATCCTATTTTCGCTACCTGGATACCTAAGCTATACTGTCAATAAGTACCTATTCTTATCTGCCTATTAGTCAATCTCACCATTATTTCTCTGTAATTTTTCTCTGTACACAAGCCATTTGGCTTGACAATAATACTAAAACTATATATCTTCTAGTTCAAACAAAAAATTTGATTGCGTCAAACGAAAATAAAATCAGTACTGATATCCTCTACAATATTCCCTCAAATTATAATAGCTCTAATTCAAGTAACATTTTCTTAGCTTTATTAAAGGATAATATCTATCTGACTGATAAACTTCAAGCTATTTGGTAGATTCTTGACTTATTTTCTATGTGCTTTTCTGCAGGTCTTGTCTCAGTCTTGATTGAAGGACCACCAAATTCTGGAAAAACCGCATTGGCTGCACAAATTGCCAAAAATTCCGAATTTCCTTTTGTAAAAGTTTGTTCTCCCGAAGAAATGGTTGGGTTTACTGAGACTGCTAAATGCTTGAGCATTCGCAAGGTAACCTTCACTTAAACATGACAGAGCTGATAATTTCTTTAATTTCCTACTCATAACAGATTTTCGATGATGCATATCGTTCAACTCTGAGTTGTATTGTGGTAGACAATATTGAACGACTTCTTGACTATGGTTCCATTGGCCCGAGGTATTCTAACTTGACTTTGCAGGCGTTGTTGGTGTTGTTGAAGAAGGAACCACCACCGGGCAAAAAGTTGTTGGTTTTGTGTACTAGCAGCAGAAGGTATGTATTTTTTTGTGTTTGTTTTCACGCAAAAATGTATTATTATTATATTTTTGATTAGGCAAGTATTGGAAGACATGGAAATGTTGTCTGCATTTACTACCATTCTACATGTGCCGAATTTATCCAAAACTGAACATTTATTGAAAGTTTTGGAAGCTTCGGAGGCTTTCACTAATTCTGAACTGAAGCAGATTACCCACCATGTTCACGGAAAGCGGTAAGTTCTTGTATATTAAACAAAATGGAATTTAAAAAACAACTCTTTTTACAGTATTTTTATTGGCATCAAAAAGTTGCTAGCTCTTATCGACATGACCAAACAGACCGAGGAACGGCACAAGGTAATAAAATTAATAACGAGACTGGAGGAAGACGGTGCATTGGAAGACCCCGGAATGGCCTAATAGTCTTAGGGAAAATCCTTGCTTTAGGTAAGGAACACGTACTTAATATTAGCATAGCAATATTATCATTATAGTCAATTAAAAAGTAAGTAAACTATTGTATAAAAGAACAACTGTTGGTGGACATAATAATAGTTCTTTGATTATTGCTGATACACAAAAAGATTCCCTAATTTTATACTGGTACGGCAATTATTGAAAAGAAAAAGAGTTTACGAACCGTTAAAGCATTCCAAATTTAAATGACTGTTGAAAAAAAATTTTAGGTTCATCAATTCTTTTTAATGTGGAAATAATATATACCCAAGTGAAATGATTACGCTTTAGATATAGCCACATGTGCAATTGTTATTCTTGGAATCAATGTTTAAATTATTGTACATTTTGACAGTTTGCTGGTCAAATAGAAGAAGTTTCCAAATTTTTTCAAAATTGTCTCAGTATGAGTACCAGCTTTTAAATATTGATATTTTATTTATTTTTTATAATTACACACTAAAACTTTGAATATGCTTTTGAGTACACATAATGTGTGTAATATAAAACCGCAATATGTAGTTCCAATTATTGTATTTATGAAAACCTTATCCAGTCTTTATGAAAATGTAAAAATGTGTTTATGTAAATTATTAATCCTGTAACGTTATCTATATAATTAGTATTTATTGTTAATTGTCTTGTATTAGTGTAAAATTGTTCTGTGAAGGAAAAATTAGTTTTGTGATACTTATTAAATCAGTGCAATTTTGAAATGAATATGAATAAGTAATGCTTACTTTGGAAAACAAGTAACTAACGATAACTAGAGCTTTACTGAAAAAGAATTACCTACTCTTATAACTCAACTAGTCAATTTCCAAATAAGCCAGCCAAAATTACTTCAACAATTCAGGGTGTTTGTGAATTAATTCTTGAAGCTTCCTATCCACCACTGAGCCTTTTCTTTTCTTGTACCTGTCTACTTGTTTTGTTTGTTGATCTTGCGGCGTATTTCCTCCTTCTCAGGTGTATCCACATAAAGGGAACTCAATCTGGATTTAGTGGCAGCTTCCAATTACCGTCTCAGGCAAATTGTTTTTTTGAATTGGGATATTATTTTTAACTCATCAAATAAGTCTTTTCTTGTACGGTTACAGTTTTAAGAGGTCTTGTAGCTAGAAGTTCTTCCTGGATTTCTGTGCTCTTCACCAAGATCATCAAGTTATTTTTTCAACTTTTGACGTTCCGTTTTAAGAGTGGAATTTTCTTCTTGCAAATCCTCAACAAGCTTAATATATTGATCGATATGCATAACAACATTTACATCGATGTTGCCAAATTGGGTAAAACCGTTGGTTGTGAACTATGGTACGCTGTCCTTTTAAGGTTCAATTTAATGTTTTGGTTCTGGTAGCATATTTTAACGTGTTGAGCTATGTTCACTGTGTTTATGTTACTTGTTCCTGTCACTTGTTTCTGTATGTTTCCAAACGTTTATTCAAGTTGCTTATTGTTTACGGTTACAGCAACAAAAGTTGCTTGTTTCCACATTTAACAAAGGCAATATAGGAATATTGGTAAACATTTTGTGTTTCTCAACTTAATTTCTATCAGTGTGGACACGTTGTTGCTCGTTCCCAAAACTTGAAACTTAGCCATTGTTTGTGTGTATGTAAATTGTTGGGAAACAGTGCCAGAAGCACTAGCACATACCTGAAAGTACGTTAACCAGCAAGTCGAGTTTTGATTTTTGTCAGATTGATTGTCATTATATTTTACTGAATTTAATAAAAACCTAAATATTGTTGAACTTAATCCAAACTACAACAAGTTGGCCAGTCGGTAGGATAATGAACCTTTTACAAATGACAGAAGTTCTCACAACTTTCCTAAAGACTCAACAAGAATTTCTTATCAAAAGTCAGCAAGTCAGATTTCCAAAATTTAACTCAAAATCAAGCCAAACCAAATGAAGAGTTTCGGATGGAGTCCCTGGGTAATTGTATCACAGAATTTCATTATGATCAGGAAACAGGGAGTACTTCTGATGCATGGTTCAAAAGATATCAAAGCCTTCTACAGAAGTTGCCAAAAATATTTCAGACTCCGCAAAAGTTAGAGTTCTCCTAAGAAAATTAGACTCACATATCCATGAAAGGTATGTCAATATTGTCAATTTCATTTTACCTAAGGAAATCAAAGATTCAACCTTCAGTGAAACTGTAAAGAAACTACAATTTTTGACACAAGTTACTAATGCATGAAGTTGAATAAAAATGATTCGGAAGATTTTATCGCATTTGCTTCACGTGTTAACAAAATGTGTAAAGAATCAAAGATAAATCAAATCACAGCAAACGAATTGTTTCAAAACAATAGAATGCCATTTGGTGTAAACGTTGCCTCAGCCATTTTTCAACAAGTTAGGGATACCATGTTATCAGGTCTGAAAGGAGCCACGGCATATATCGATGTCATTTTAGTATCAGGCCAATCAGAGGAAGAACATTTTCAAAACTTAAATCTTGTCCTAAGGCGTATTGAAGAGTTTGGTTCTCACTTAAAATTACAAAAATGTAAATTTGGAGTCAAAGAAATTAAGTATTTGGGAATATATCCCAAAAGTGAAGGTGAGTGAAACCCAGATCCAGCAAAAACTGAAGCTATCAGAAATATGTCACCGCTCCATGATATCAACACTCTACTTTCCTATCTTGGCGCAATAAGCTAATATAGTGAATTTATCGAAGAAATACACATGTTGTGTCAACCACTAAACGGATTATTAAAAAAAGGAACCAAATTTTGATGGACAACAGAATGTAAAGGATCGTTTGAAAAATTTAAAAAAATTTTGAAGTCGGATCTAAGTCTAACCAACTATAACCCAGTTCACGAAATCATTGTACCGGGCGACGCAAGTATCACTGGAATAGAAGCCTGTATTTTACACAGATTTAAAAATGGAACTATCAAACCTATATGGCACGCATCTAGAACTCTTACTGAAACAGTTCCAAAGGGTCAATGACAACGAATTCATATAGATTTCGATGGTCCAATCAACGATTATTATTATTTAAATATTGTTGATGCCTATTTAAAGTGGCCTGAAGTGTTTGAAACTAAACAATTACGTCATGCATTACAATATCAAAATTAGAAGAAGTATATTCAAGATTTGGGATTGTTGAAACAGTTGTACCAGACAATGACGGTCAGTTCACTTGCAACGATTTTAAACAATTTTGTCAGAAGAATGGTATGGAACATATTCGCACAGCAGCATATTGGCCACAGTCAAATAGTCAGGCAGAAAAGTTTGTTGACATCTTTAAAAGAGCACGTCATAGGCAATTACAAGATATAAACATATATTTAAGAATGTACAGGTCTACTCTAAATCCAAATTCTCCAGATGGAAAATCTCCAGCTGAACATATGCTAGGAAGAAGAATGAGAATTCCACTTGATTTGTTACTTCCTCCGAAAAATATCCAGATTAATGAAATTTAAAACAAATTTGAAGAAGAAGATTTGATTTATGCTAAAATTTACAAAAATAACAAGTTCCGCTGGATTCCTAGAAAAATCATAGAACCAATTGGCAATGTCATTTACAACATACTAGTGTTTTATCCAAATAATCACAATATATTAAGATGTCATACTAATTAAATTAAAAGTACCAAATCAAAGTTTTCCGATCCTATTACATTTTTTGATAGAAGAGTTTTAATTTTCAAGACAACGTAGAACAAAGCTCAGATTAGTGTTTAGATTAAGAAGTTATTATTGAAAATATACCAGATAATAACAATTCAATAGAATCCACAACAGATAATACAGATACTGAAGAAATGATCGACTCTCAAGAACATAGTGCAAATACTGTTAGTTCTAATGAAGCTGATCTGAAGGAATATAATTAAGATAGTCAAGTTAGAAGAACCGGAAGGGTAAGACGAAGATATTCATATTTAGAGGATATTGTTTAATAAAAAAAGGGAGAAATGTTAGGAAACAGTACCAGGACATACCTAAAAGTACGTTAACCAGCAAGTCTAATTTTGATTTTTGTCAAATTGATTGTCATTGTATTTTACTGCTGAATTTAATAAATATCTTTTCAAAAACAAATATTGTTGTAGTTAACCCGAAATACAACATAAATCTTCGTCGCTTCACATTGTTCCGAAACTAGGAACACACACTGCTGGTCTAGACACAGTGTTTAGTGTTGTAGCAACACAACGAAACATTCACAAAAATGAATAACCATGGTGTGGACAGAATGTTTACGAAACTTTTGCTGTTGTTTCTGTTTCCATAAACAGGTTGCGGCAACAAAATGTTTGGTATCGACTAAGCTTTTTGGGTCATTAAAGCTCATTGAAGCTCCAAAAACATTAGCAATCATGACAGTTTCCGCCGTGCGTCAGCTTATTTATTGCCGAAAGCTCATAAGTATTTGCCCCTTCCTTGAAACCCGTTGCTGAGCCCCGTTCGCTTCCTGCCAAATCAGTCATGCTCAATTTTGCTCTTGTTATTTCTCTAGTATATTTGAATATCATTTGTATGTAAACCTGTAGCAAGGCATGTCACCGGCTGGGTGCGCCGCTTGTTGCCAATTTCCAGTACTTCAAATAACTCCTCAAAATTTATGATTTTGTCCCACGCATTGTGGACCTCTATCTATGTGAGCATCAGTTCGAATTTCCGTTCTACATTCAACTCTTCTTTACGATGGAATAATTCTTCCATTGTCAAGTGAGTAATACCGAATCGAACAATCTATCCAAATCAGGTTTTTACTTGTTAGAATGTGAAACAAGTCCGAAAGTATTATATTGGACGAACAGGAGGACATCAATCTAGTTTCCTTGAAAATAATTACGTTTCACTTTATGCATTACATTCAAATTCAGAAAAAAACATGACTTTGCCATAGACTTTCGAAATTTTATTCCAAGAAAATAAATCAAAAAATTAAATTATCTTGAGAGTATGGAAATTAATAAAAGGAAAAGGTCTGGTGTATACATATATGTTTTTTTTTTTTAAATATTTTTACTTCTACATTCCAATTTTTTTCAAGTACTTCTTGATTATTTTGTTACTTACTTGGGATAGTACCTGTGCTGAAATATATTGTGAAGTAAAAACGCTGCCGCCCTGTAGCTAAATGTTGACTCATCAAATTTAAAGTAAAATTTGTTTCAAAATATGCACTGAAGTGATGTTAGTTATTTGATAAGCTTCTCAACATCGAAACACCTTTTATAAATTTGAGTTAAATTATATATTTAAAAGAAGCTGATCATATTTTAATTTGCTGTGATGACTTATTTTTCCTACTTTATTTTAAATTTTGTATTTATATTTATGTTAAACAATTCAGTATAGCTTTGCTGTTTTAGAACATGAGGCACAGTGTATTAAAAAATTGTATAAAATACAACATTGTCATTAATACAATTAAATTATTGTCCTACAAAAAAAAATTAGCTACCTGTATGTATTGCATAAATATTGCTAAATATAGGTATTATTACTTTATATTACCTATGTGGTGACTTTTCAAACGCATAGTAACTTGTTTTTATGCTAAATGACAGCACAACGGCTTCTTGCCCTCCTTAATTGGAGTGAAAAAGTAATAATGGAGCATGTGTTGAAAAGAGGCATAAATAAAATATTTGTTTTTAATTTCAGATGAAATTGAAATGCATTTAGAATGTAAGTTCTATGTACTAGTACATTTCGCCACATTCAGGTCTTACCTACTTAATTATTAAGTACATATTTGTTGAAAACTGTTGAAATTTGAGCTGTACAGGATTAAATTATATTATGATAGAACAAGAGTTTTTTCTTTTACCTGGTAATTGATTTTATTTATTCATTTATCGACGGATGATATTGTTAATTTTACATTGAATGAAAAATTATAGGGTGAGTGGACCACATTTTGAAAAACCCATAATTTTAACTCTTTATTGGGTAATACCTATTGTTAAATTGTATTGTAAGGATAAGGTAGTGAAATAATATGCTTTGACAAACATTTGCCATTAACAAAATTTAATAGATATCACATGAAATCAAAAAAAAATAAAAAATACAACTCTATAAAACTTCATCTCTCCTCTATAGTATAGGAGAAACGGACTATCAATAATACAAATCTATTTTTACCTTGGGCCCTGATTTCCACACAAAAAGCACAAACTTGAGAATCATTCCTTACACATGTGAAAAATTCTATTTCCTAAAGTCTCTGCAATCCTTCTCACAACGAAGAAGACAGGAAAAACACATCATAAATGAACAACCGCCTTAAAATTAGAATTCGATCCTAACTACATACTTTTGTTTTCAATCACAGCCTGCATCTGATTGTACCATTCAGTCAGAATTTAAATATTTAATTTTTGGTTTTTCTCCATTCATTTACTTATGTTCGTTTGCACCAACAATTTTAAGGAATCCTTAACGAAAATTATTCCTTAAAGCTGCATTTCCCTATGTTATAAGACTTGATAATTCCTTAAACGGTTGGTGCAAATGACCATTAGTAGGGATTGTACTTATATTATTATAAATAATTATAGTCATCAAACTTAGCATAAAAACCTAAAAAATAAAACATACTAGTCAAAATGAAATAAAGACCACTTTTTGTTCATCTGAAAACTGCATATAACGTTTCAAATGATGGAAAATAATTCTAATTTTTAAGCTAAATAGATTTGTGAAGAATTGAATTTCTAGATTTAGAGGAATTTTCAGAAGCGGTCCTTATTTCGTATAGGTAATATACCTAAAATTAAAAGTAGTTGATAACTTATATGAGAATTTTAAATTTTCATTACATCCATTAGTTTCAAGCTGTCTGCTATGGCCTTCCTCTTAGCCTCTTCGAAGTCTTTTCCTGTTGCGCAAATAGTGAAAGGCTGATCAGCTCGCCGAGCACTGTAACGCCACACTGAAATAGAGCTTTTATATTTTTTGTAAACCAAACATACACTCTCTGCAATAAAAGCACATGGCAATGTCAGGAGTCCTTCCCTCAGAAAGCATGGTTTACAAGATTCACGGTATGTTAAAGCGTACATAAAGCGCAGCGCTCTTTTTTGCAAAACAAAAACTGAATTAAACATATAATCGGAGCAACCTCCTCAGAAAGCAATTCCGTAACGTAAATGTGACTCGATCAGAGCATAGTAAGCCATCTTAACTACCTGTGGTTCAAGGTTCAAGATCTTTTGCTATGGTTCTTAAGGCATAACAGCCAGATGACAGTTTATTAAACAGTTTTTCAATGTGATTACTAAAGTTAAGCGAACCATCCACATGTTTCCCAAGAAATTTCACATATGTCGTGGGGTTGAGTGTTATTGTTTCAATTTGAATTTCCTGTAAATCACATTTGAAAGTCAGAATATTAGTTTTAGTAACATTAAGCGTTAAAAGGTTGCTGTCAAACCACCCCTTTATTTCCTTCAAATGTTTTTGGATTCCATAGTTAAGAGAAGAATTGGTCGAATCACGCCAGAGAATTGTAGTATCATCAGCAAAGAGAGTAAATGAGCCTGATATATCAATATTGGTGATATCATTAATATACAGGAGGAACAAGATTGGTCCCAGGACAGAACCCTGAGGTACCCCACAATTGATATTTTGAACATCTGACATTTTTCCCACTATGGAAACAGTCTGAGTTCTTTCCGACAGATAGGACCTGAACCAGTTGAGGGCAACACCTCGAAACCCGTAAACTTCTAGCTTTTGTAGTAGAATACTGTGACTCACACAATCAAAAGCCTTGGTCAGGTCGCAGAAGACTGCACCAGCAATGTCCCCGTTATTGAGGGTTACATATAGTTTCTCTAAGAAAGAAAAAAGTGCATCAGTTGTGTTTTTTTCATTTTGATAGCCAAACTGTTCCGAATTTAAGATCTTATTTTTCAATAAAAAAGACATCTCTGTTTTTCTATAATTTTGGACAAAGTGGGAAGCAAGGAAATTGGTCTAAAATTTGAAGGACTGAAGTAATTTCCTCCTTTGTGTAATGGCACGATAACAGGTCTTTTAAGGAAACATGGAAATTGTTCAATAATGAATGAATAGTTGATTGCATCTACTAAAAACTCCAGTGCTGATCCACTCAACTCACAAAAAATTTTTACGGAAATGTCGTCCCACCCTAAGGCGTTTTTGTTTTTAATCTCTAAAAATATGTTTTTTAATTCTCTAATGTCTGTTGGGTAGGTACATAAAAAAGGTGCTTGATGTATATGATCTAGTGAGATATGTGAGAGGATTTACACTAGAGGTAATTTTCGAAGACAACCCTGAGCCAATGGAACAGTCAAAATCATTAAGCTCATTGGGATCATGGTGTAAGCCCTTGTCATTACTATTATCTGACTGTCTAAGGTTGTTAACAATCAACCATGCTTCCTTTGACTTGTTTCTCGATTTTCTAATACGTTGACTATGGTGTCTACAGAAACTCAATGAGCTGGGGAAGGAAAACAAAGTAACCCTACTCTGGGTTCCTGGACACATAGGTGTCGAGGGCAATCAATGCGCAGACGAACTTGCAAAAACGGGAGCGGCCACTCCCTTCACTGGACCAGAACCATTTTGCGGCGTCGGAAATGCGCACCTGCAAGAAATCTTCAAAAAGGAAGAGAACCGGCTAAGGAACAAAGAATGGCTAGACCAACCAGGACTACGACAGGCCAAAGATCTACTGGGTTGCTACAACCAAAAAAGATCTGAACTGCTGGTCAACCTTAGCAAGAAAAGTCTCAAAACTCTAACCGGGTTGCTCTCAGGACATTGCAGACTGAATAAGCACCTACATAATCTGGGGTTGAAAGAAGGTAACACTTGCAGATTCTGTGAAGACGGTGAAGAAACACCTCACCATCTTCTACTGAACTGCGATGCCGTAAGCCGCTCAAGAATGAAGAACTTGGGAAGTCCCCTTATACAGCTGGAAGACATTCCAGCCATGGAACAGCTAGATATTCTAAAATTCCTAAAGGACCTAAGACTAGAGGGGCTGCTTTAAGCAGGAAACCCGAACTTAGCAGCAGAAGGAGGGGTACAATAGATCAACCTTGGTCGCAGTGCAACTGACACCTCCAACACATACATACATACATACATAGTGTAGCCTCTTTGCTGACCTTACCACCATCCGATAGACAGCCCTATACCTGTTAAAATAAGAGACAAAAGACAGACTGTCCATGAAAAACTTTCTAATGTAATAAAGTGCTCGCATATTTTGCGCAGATACTCTAATTGATTTAGTCAACCAGGGTTTTTTGGTTTTATTCTTTATAACAACAATGGGAAAGGCTTTGTTTAAAAACATTTGACAACGCATAATGGAACTGCTCTAGAGGATTATCACAGATAGAGAAATTCCAGTCAACCTGGTTACTTTTCTCGCGAAATTTTCTAAAGTTTTTTTTACAGTATAGTCTTCCCTTCTTTGAGACAGAATTTGGTTAAATTTTAATTTTGATACGACAGCTTCATGATCTGAAATTCCAGAATGCCTGACACTGCAAGAAATACACGATATATTCGAACAAATATAATCCAAAGTAGTAGAGGCATAATTGGTTAATCTAGTATAATCTAGTAGGCTCTGTGACATGCACTTTAAGATTAAAACAGGACAGCAAAATTAATAACACAACCACTGGAAGCTCCATTAAAATCAACATTCAAATTTCCAGTAAGGATAACTGAACAATCAACAGGTAAATTACTAAAAAAATCTTCAGATTACCTGACAGAGAGCGATAAAGGCATACGACATAAATTCTGTATTTGGAACAATATACAATACAACATTCAAATAGCCTTTCAACAGTCAAATAATCAAACTTGCAAACATTAGAAAAACTCAAGTCACCAATAAGTGTCTCATTTGCAAGCACCATAGTACCTCCGTAAGCAGAGCCCATTCTAGAAAATTTTGAAACAACATTATAATTATCAATTTTAATAAACTCATCAGACCTTAACCAATGCTCCGTTATACAGAGTATGTCAGGAAAATCGAGACTTTCGAGGAGAATATACAACTCATGATCTACACAGTTGAACGCCCTCGAAAAACCGAATATTAGCAAAAGTGTGAGATCCAGAATGTTCAGTTTATTTTTTGCTTTCTTTAATTAATTTTTACTTTATAAATATTTACTTTTTTCACGCTTTAGAGCTTCCTCCGAAGCCCTTGAAGCCATCTTGAAGAAGAAGGTCGCTGGAGTTTCGTATGGTACTTCAATGCCCATCTTCATCAAGACCCTCTGTGCTGCCTGGTTTTTGCTGGTTTGTTTAGACCAGCCACTTCCAGAAGCTTTTATTCCAGCAGCTGTGACTAAGCACTGGAATCGGCTCGTATCCGTATCAGATCCAATTGATTGGGACATCAATTCGTAATAGGGTTTGCGGAAACCCCCTTTCACTGCCAATTCTTGGAGGGCAGCGACGGGGGTTGTATCATTTTCACCCATTTTGTCTAGGCTGAAAAAAAAAAGACATTTGATTTATTTTTTTCATTACAATTTTACAATTTACCAGTATACCGGGTGTCCCGTAATTAGTTAAAGTCAAAAGTCTACCCCTACATGAAATCATCCCTAAGTAATCAACCTCTACTTTTTTTTAAAGTGGCACTCCACTTTTTTTTTACGTGGTAACTGGTTAGCAGTCTAAATTCAGTTAGATACAATATTCAAATTTTTCTGTTTAAGAAATTTGGGAAATGGATAAATGGAACCACATTTTTCACAAATATTTCTCCCATATGGGTGTCGCAGAATAAACACAACAAACTATAACTCGGTAAATTTTAGAGATAAAGATTTGTATGAACGAACTTTCTACTTGGGATACATACATAGCATTTGCTAACAAGATGTCAAAACTACCCCCTAAACAAAACTATTCGTAATCAACCCCTACTGTCAATAACCGGCCTCAAAAAAAAAAAAAAAAACAATCAAAGCGCTTTGATTACTACGAAAACGTATGTCGTATTTTCCATTTTCCATTTTCAGCCGTTTTCTATCCTTAGGATATAGGCCTCTTTCAAATTTGACCATTGTCTTCGGTTTTGCGCAACTCGGTACCAATTCAAGCCTGCAACCCTCTTCATATCGTCGTACCATCTTTGTTGGGGTCTTCCAACACTTCTCCTCTCTTCCCAAGGTCTCCATCTAGTGATATACCCGCTCCAGTTTTCTGTATGTCGGGCCACGTGTCCTGCCCATTGCCATTTTAGGAAACCAATTCTTTTTATTATGTCGGAGACTTTGGTTCTTTCCCTTATCCATGTATTTGTTTTGTGGTCTCTCAGGGAAATTCCTAAAATTCGTCTTTCAATGGCTTTCTGATGTACTTCCAATTTGTGTTTAATTCTTCTGGTTATCACCCAGGTCTCGCAGCCATACGTGACAACAGGCAGTATACTCGTTATAGACTTTTGATTTTAAAGTCATTGGAATATTCATGCTGAAGATGTACTTTGACTTGCCGTAAGCCGCCCATCCCAGTCTAATTCTCCTATCAATTTCCATTTCTTGATTTTGTTTGCCCGGTATTATAGCTTGGCCAAGGTATATGTATGTTTCTGTCTTTTTTATTGTGCTGTCATGGATCGGTATTGTTTCGTCTGCATCTGGTGTATTTGTAATAAACTGGGTCTTTGTGTAGTTCATGTGTAATCCTACTTTTGCCGCCTCATCGTGTAGTTCTTCCAACATATCTGTCAATTCCTGTTTGTCTTTCGAGAACAATACAATATCGTCGGCAAATCTTAGATTGTGCAGGCGTTCACCATGTATGTTCAATCCTTTGTTTTCCCATTGTAGCTTTTTAAAAATATCCTCGAGCACTAAAGTGAATAGTTTTGGAGATATTATATCCCAATGCCGAACTCCTCTTTTGGTGTTTATTCTGTCAGATGATTCATGAAGTCTTATCGACATTGTCGAAATCTTATAGGTGTTTTCAATGAGGTTTATATAACGTTGATCCACTCTGGCATTTCTCAAGGATTTTATTATTGCCCAGATTTCCACTGTGTCGAAGGCTTTCCGGAAATCGACAAAAGCCATCCATATTCCATAGGTTTATATTATATTCTGTAGCTTTCTCAATCATCTGCCTTACTGTGTGTAGATGTTCCGTCGTGCTATAATGGCTTCGGAATCCAGCCTGTTCCTTTGGTTGGTAAACTTCAAGTTTTCTCTCTAATCTGTTGGTGATTATTCTGGTGAATAATTTATATATTTGTGATAGTAAGCTTATCGGCCGGTAGTTTTCGAGATCATTCGGGTCACCTTTCTTGTAGATCAGAACAACTACAGCATTCTCCCAATCTTTGGGTATATGTTCTTCTGTTAGGCACTTATTGAATAGTTTCACTAGTTCTTGTCTCGTCTTAGTATCGCTTTCCTTGAGCATTTCAGGCAGAATGTTGTCTTCTCCTGCCGCTTTACCATTTTTCATCTGGGATAACCCTTTCTCCAGTTCTTCCATATTTATGTCGGGCATTTCTTCTGAGTTTGCATTTACTATTCGTATTTTGTCTTCCCTTGTCCTTGTGTTTGCTATTTTAGATTCGTACAGATCTCTATAGAAAGATTCCACAACTTTTAGTATCTGTTGCCTGTCTTCTACTATGTTGTTTTTCGCATCTTTTATTTTGGTTATCTCTTTCTTAGGTGTGTTATGTCTTTTAAATATATTTAGTCCTTTGTTCTGTTCTAATAGGGATTGCACTTGTTTCGTTTGATGTTTTAGTATATCCTGTTTCGCCATTTTTCTTGCTGTTTTGTTGGTTTCTGTGTATTCAATAGTGTCTCTTTTACCCTCGGTTATCAGTTTTCTCCTTTTCTCTAGTGGCTGTTTCGTTTCTATCGACAGTTTGTCCGACGTTTTCTCTAGGGGGCCTATTATCTGTTCTGCTGTTTCTGTTATAATTGTTGTTATTCTCCTATTGTTATCATCTAATGACTCTTCTGTTTTTCCTGGATTGTTGGAAAAGTTTTATTTCAGCCTTTGTTTGTATGTTTCCCTTCTTTCTGCTATCTTTTCTCTACTTCCTCTCTTCGTCGTTTGTTTCATCTTTCTTTTTCTTTCCATTTTTGTGTTTATGAGCAGTTTGCATCTTACCATCCTGTGATCACTGCCGGTGTTGAATTGGTTGACTACATCTACGTCTTGGATTATCTGTTTATGGCGGGAGATTATAAAGTCAATCTCATTTTTGGTTTGTCCATCTGGGCTATTCCATGTCGTATTATTGTTTCTTTATTGGTGAGGATTTTTGACATGACATTTTGACATTAAAGTTCATTGACAAAATTAAAGAAAAATATTGCTAAGACATAAAAAACCATAGCAATCTTTGATTGTTTTTTTTTTTTTTTGAAGACCCGTTATTATAACTTTTAAATATTGTGCTTTGCTAAAGGACATGGCACCATTTAAGTGTAATTTGTCCCTCTGCTGATTTTCCTGAAATTTGAATATGTTGTAGCCGACACCAAAATACCACTTGTTATATTATATCTAGACAATACTTAACTCAACACCTCGTAGCTAATGGAAATACATATAAAGTAAAAATCAGCATTTCTGTATGTCCTTTTTTATTACTTTGGCGCAATCTAAGGGCGCTATGATAAAAAAGTCTTATTTTGGTGTCGTCTATAACATATTTAAATGTCAGGAAAATCAGCAGAGGGCCAAATTAGGTACACTTAAATGGTGCCATGTCCTTTAGACAGTTAGACAGTAACCAAATATAAGAAAATAAATTATGAGGTCCCATTTAAATAAAAAAGTAAAGGTTGATTACCAAGAAATAATTTAGTGTAGGGGATAGTTTTGACATCTTGTTATGTCAAAATGCTATATATCCCATTAAGTTTCTTTATTCAAACTTTATTTCTGAAATTTACCTAGTTATACAATGTAAATTATGGGACACCCATGCCTCGACTCACGCCATGTGATGAAGAAGTGAAGGGAAGAATGGTTAATACATAGTTGCACATTTTTGGATTATATTTTTTTTTCGAATTCTGTAGGTAGAAAAATAATAGCATTTTTTTAATTTTCTCTGAAAAAGATTTAATTTTTGATACCTATAACTACCAGGTACAGCAAAAGTCAGTAAACGCCATCAAAAATAGGCAAGCGCTCTATGACGGGAGCACCCCCACCAACAAAATTTCGAATTTTTTTTAGTTTTAATGCATAGTTGATTTTATTTTGAAAAAGATAAAAAACTCCTGTTGTGAAAGGTGGATGATTTCACGGATTTCATTGATATATCACGTAAAATGTGATTTTTTCAACTTTGGAAGCCTTATTTGGAGAACAAGCAAAGGATAAGAACTTGGCATTCGTATTTTTTCTACAAATGTGTGAGTCGAAAATAACAATTTTAAGAAGGTTCTGTCACTTTCTGTTCAAAAATAAATTTTGATCCAGAATTCTAAAATTTCTGCAAAAATGTTCAAATTTGACATTTTCATACACATCATGATCCGGAGATCCCAAAAATGCGAAAAAATTGTTGGGATGCCATTCGAAATTACGAAGTTAGGACCATTTCCGGTGGAACCGGAAGTTACCAAATATTGACACACATGTCACATGTCCAACGACGACATTTCTCAAACCTACACTCTATACCAAAAATCTATGCCATTGAAAAAAAAAACCAGCAAATGCCAGCGCGAAACTGATCTCGTAGACACCCGGTATATGAAGTTTGTTCTGAAATAGTCTCGGAAATAGTCGACTTTACCTAGGAATAATATATGGCAATCCGACAACGCCGATTCATAAAGTACAATTGTGAAGATTTGGCAACGTTTAACTGAGGTGTGAAGTAAGGACATTCATTTATGATTTTGCCATTTTGAATCGAAAAATCATAGATAATCCCAAGGATATCTACTTGCGTGAGCTTGGCAGCCAAAAGTTAACAGCCTGACTCCCGAATCTACCCGAACAATCAGTGGCGTCGTTTATGTTTTATTTTTATGTATTATGCATACATTTTCTATAGGTCTCTTCCAACATGTCAAAAAACGTCCCACGAACCGTTTCGAAACCATTCAGTAAACGAATTTTAGTTTTCTCGCACAAATTTTACGCTTTGCGCAGAATCTTGACGGTATGCATTGTTCGGTTTCCTGCTGTGTTGGAACAGACCTTATAAACACGCTAAAACTGATCCAGTAAACAAGAAAATACTGCAAATGGATCCAAAACATGTTTTTGAAGGTAAACAAAGAATTAAAATACGTAATTGAAATATCATATTTTCACCAAACTCACGGACGGGACTTTCCACATTTTTTCTCGACCAGGTGGAATGAAAACTGCTTCTAGATACGATGGACTCATTTTGGGGCACCTTACTTCTTACTTGACTTGCAAATTGATCCAAGGGTGGTTTGAGAGGGTAAGTCAAACAAATTTAAAAAGCGAA